AAGAGGTGCACTACTTGGTTATTAGTTACTACTACATAACCCATAAAACTGATTACATGATGGCTAAAATCCTACTAAGAAGTGAGGCATACAATCACCCACAATTGTATTGGCACTATGCACCTCCCCATTGGGTAACTAGCATACAGACGCCAATAGGTGGCTATAACTAGCAGTAAACGTGCACACTAACAAAAATAAATGCAGATGGCCTGTTTTTGTAGTCTAAACAATGTTTGGAGATAAGCGAGTTGCATTTCTTCCCATGGGAATATCCTAACAATCTCAGCCGTGACTTTATAGGTCGCCCAGATCCGGATGGGTAATTTATAGTTGTCACTCAGAGGTGTCTGCAGGGGGGAGTCAAAAAGTCAAGATGGCTGCCACAACGATACGATCCAAGCCCCCCACCCTTTTTTCACATGTATTGCAAAAAACGTGCAATGCAATACATGTAAAGCAGGGTGGGGCTTCAGTCACATGATTGTGGCGTCCATCTTAACTTAGGGTTCCCTTTCCTGCAGACCCCTCTGTTGTCACCTCCTGTCCACCCTCTGGGCATAAAGGAAAGAATGATGCAAAATGGGGCCACTTCACTTGAACATCTCCGTGGTTCCTGCTGGCATGGAGGGAGGGTCCAAAATATGTACCCCGGATGGTCCATCTTGTCTTGGAAGTCAAATGCAGAAGAACAACGATACTGGGAACTACTTGCTGAGCAGTTCATAATGGTTACTGGGGTACAGGACCAAAAAGGAGGGGGATTCTCGAAATGTGTCTTATTTGCTATGCCATCTGGGGAGTGAGCGAGTCTCTGAGCCGTGTCTTGCAAAGATGTTCGATGGGCCCAACAGCCTCTCCCTGTCATTCTCTCCACAGAGCCCACGGTCAGTGTGGTCCAAGAGATCCGTATCCGCAATGCTGGTTACATCCAAAATCCATACGATTTGCCCAGGAACAGCCACATCCCCAGCCACTACGACATTGTCCCGATAAGACACAGCCCAACTCATGGGACACTCTGGGATAAACCATCTTAAAGGGCCAAGACACCCTGACGTCCCAACCCCAACCATGTGCCATATGAGCATTTTTTTCGGACACAACGAAGATGACAATCTTTTCTGTTTTATCCTGCTGTATATGGGAGGAAAAGAATACAACACAAAGAACCTTTGGGGACAATTGTTGGGGCCCACTTGCTTCTGCATGAAACTCTTTATTTGACAAAATAATTTTATACAGATTGCAGGAAAATCAAGAAAGCTCCTATCTGTACAACAGCAGAAAGAAGACACCAGAAAGCCATTTATCTCCAAGTTCAACAATGGACCGTGTGCATTCCTTGATTTGTTTTTGCTTTAAAAAAAATGAAGGGGGAGGGAGGTGAGAAAAACCCCTTGCTGCAAGTTCTTATAGCTGTATCTGTATTATATTATTGCCCGCTTAAAGAATTCTTTTCTAAAAAAAAAAAAAAAAAGACACGAGCTTCAAATAGATTTTGGGATAAGTTGTGAAGCCTCCTGTGTGGTCAAGGAAGTACTTCTTCAAAGAACCCAGAGATAAGGTGCTTTAGAAAATTGCTGCCACCATAGCCAGGTGTTATTTCATTCCACAATGTATTACTCCAAGTGAAATGGAATGAAGAATCCAAAGTTTTCCATGGCTGCAACAACTTCAGAAATTCTTCTTGGTCTACAGAGTTTATAGAAGGGTAAGTTCATAAGAGCTTGCTCTACTGAGCATGACTTCTGTCTGCTCCTTGCCCACCCCATGCATCCATTGGTCCACCTTTAGGAGCTGGTCTCCATCCATCCATCTTCGAGAGATGTGATTGAACAACACTAATCTACAACTGAGTCTATGCCCATCTATTCTCAGGTGGCATTGGCAGTGTGGATTATGACAATCTCGAAGTGCTTGTTTTATCTTGCAGTGAAATGAATATGAGATTGGCTGGACAGAGCGAAAGCACAGGAGTCAGAGTACAGCCAGGGACTCCTAATTGCACTTCTGGGTACTTCTGCTGACAAAGATGGAGTGCTTGTGATGCACCAAGGATTATGTACATAAATAATGCTCAAGAACGGCCTTATCCAAACAAGCATGACAGCTGTCTAAACCTGAGTTGGACACTGGTAGCATCCTTTTTCAAGCTAGTGTACTCCAGCAGAGATGGACTACAATACCCTTCCTTGATCTTGGTGTCCTCCAGATGTGTAACTTCCATTCCCAGAATTCTCAGCAACAGTCATGTTGGCCAAAGAATTATGGGAATTCCATCCATCCATACAAACGGCTTCCAAGTAAGGGAAGGCTGGATTTCATCATCACCCCCAGTCAGTATGACTAACGTCCATGCTAGGTGGAGATGATGGAAGCTGAAATCCAACACAGGTGGAAAACACAGACAAGGAAGAGTAGTCTACAGACCAACCAATGATCTTTCAGGGCTTCAAGCAGAGATCTTTCCCAACCTTTCCTGAAGATGCCAAGTGTAGAACTTGAGAACTTGTGCATGTAAATCAGATTTCTATAACTGAGCTATGCCTTTCCCTCAAACCATTCTATTATAACAAAATCAACTACACACCATTTCCGGAAGATTGCTTCTGTATCATAGGTACATTCTATCTGTAATCACTGTTAGATTGCAGTTGTACTTCAGCTTGGCTATACGCTCATGATTTGCGTGTAGATCTTCTTGGATATGATCTAATGTTGATATTGTATAATATTTTTATCCAGCAAGTGCTAATGTAGCGAAAAGGCTGCCTTTCACCAAGAAATGTCCATTTACCATTAAGGCACAATTGAGTGGAATTTGTAAGAGAAAGGAAAATGAAAGAATGGCTTGCGAAAACATGACAGAAGGTATAAGACCTGCTGTCCGGAATGCCTTTGCATCTGATCAGGTTCTTAAAGTAGGTTTCATTCATAGCTACTGATGGCTCTATTATCCAGGTTGATAGGCTGAGGATGTTATTTAAATCAGAAATAAATTGGATAACACAATGCAGCTACTGAATGTATTATCAGCATCATGAAGCAGGGGTCAATGAACTTTTTCAGGTGGGGGGCACCTTTATCACCTTTCATGTGATGATATCCAAAATATTACTTACTAGATCTTCTGCATTCTTGTCGAAATCTCATGAGATCTCATGCGAGAATACAGGGATCTTGCTAGATTTGGTGATTGTGCAAGATATAGAAGATATACTTAAATGGATCAGTGGGCCTGTTGCAAACCCCAGATGGATAGTCCACTGCATATATAGTGGCAAGATAATAGCTGTGAATGTAAGAAGTGGATATTTGCCAGCCAGAGTTGCTACCGCTAGCATAGACTAGCCTGTTATCTCCAGATGTGGGTCTACAACTTCCAGATTTGGGGCATAGCACTGGGGAGAGCTGAGTGTTGAAAATTCTGGGCTTGATGACCCAGAGATCTCTGATTCGGTTGAAGGTGGCTTCCTCAGCTCCCTGAAAAAGTTATGACCAGAGAGTCATAGAACTGTGGAGCTGGGAGGGACCACAAGAATCATCTGGTCCAACCCTTGCTCCCTATTTTTGTGGAAACAGCTGTTTTGACCTTCCCCGAACATGATGACAAGCCAGGTCATTCAAGGAGAGGCATAGACCCCAACTTTTTTTCATCAAAAAGCAAAAGGGCGGGAGGCAAAGAGTGGCACATTCCAGGCAAGAGATGCTCTCAGATTGGCTGGAAGACCTCTGGCCTAGGGAACCTGCAAGGCCATTGAGGGGAAGAATGGGGTTGTTTGCTTTTCTCATCAAGTGGACTCGTCCCCACTGAGTGTCCATCTGGAGAGACAAGAGAGTCATCCTCAGAGCCCAGCATTGGATTTCTGCGCTGGTTGGTGACAGGTATTAGAACATTGTAGAAGGACAGCCATGTTAATCTATGGTAGCAAAACAATCAGGAGGAGTCTGGTAGCACCTTTTCCAGCTGACAAATTTTATTCCAAGGCATAAGCTTCATGAGCTCATGAAGCTTATGCCTTGGAATAAAATTTGTAGGCCGGAAAAGATACCGCCAAGATTCTCCTCCAGGTCTTGGAAGTTTCAACCAAGTTCAGCTTGCTAGTGATGTTATGGTAACCGCACTGGTAGGACAGGTAGGGAATCAAGCAAGTGGCTCTGGCTGTGCAAGTTTAGCAAAAGAAGACACCTTCCACAGACTGCTCGCTTTGGGCTGACTGTAGTGGAGTTTTAGTCCAGACAGGTGTCATCTCCACTAGGTAGACCAGACCAGGAAATCAACTCTGTGGGAAGGCTAGAACTATTTTTATTGAGATTGGCTTTAATAACAGAATCTTGCAGGTCTGATTGTACTGCACCTCCTCCCCCTTCTTATACTGCAGTGAATTAGGGAGGTGTCTCTCTGAGCCTCTTCTGAATGTTATCTTGTGGTTCTGGACTTAAAAAATGTTTCGTCCGCTTCTGCCTATGCAACAGTTCCTGCATATGTCCATCAAGTTCATCTTGCTTACTCTCTACCATGGCAGAGAGAATGCTTGGAAGCTGAGAAGTTTAGTCCCTCAATGAAAGCAAAGGACTTTGTTGGGAGGGAATGAAGGCCTTCTAATTCCAAAGCAAGGCAGAGGGTATATTTCTGCACAGCTCAGCGGATGGAGCAAAAATGCATCTCGGTGAGATTTTAGAAGAACGGCATTTTTTTTTCACAGCAGAGGAGGAAATGTAATTATTTACACGAATGCTGCATGTGTGCATGGGGAAAAAAATGATCTATTGGCAATAGCTGTTTTACTTTCCAAGAAAGCCTTATCCAAAAATATACTTAAAAAGTAGAACTTTATTTTGTAGGACCTGTAGGGATATATATTTTAAATACATGTATAGGGGGAAAAAAAAGTCTTACCTCAGAATTAGCAATGGGAAAAGTCCTCCATGAAGGCTTTTATTTAAAATCGGGCAACTTCACAATTAGGTTGACTTGGAAATTAACATACCGACTTAGATAAAGCCAGGAATGTGGACTGCTACACTCTTCAAAGGAAGACACGTAAACAGATGCAGGAATGCCCAGGACCAGCCTGGCTCTGATGGAGGCATGGATGTAAGGTATGGGTGATGTCTAGTCCTACCTGGTTCGCAAGAGTATGCAAGTTTTCAGGTAACATAGAACTTTTTCTCCAGCAGGACAGATGGCTGCAGATCCAGGGGAATGTTTATGCTGTATTTGAGACTGCTGCACTATGTAACTGAGTGTCTTGTGGCTTTTTGGAAAACCAGGTGGAGAACACATAGGAAAGTTGTGCATTACGTCCAGAAGGAGACACTGAAAAGCAGACCCATTCCTTTAAACAGGAATACAGATGTTGTAATGGCAATACTTTTTTTAAAGCAAGACATATTTGTAATATTTGTTGATCAGACAAAGGTAACATACCTTGTTAAAAAATAAACTGAATTTCTCTCTGTTGCATTTTTCTAATACAGTTGTTTCTAAGCCTTGAAGCATCTCTGTACTGATCAGTGAAAAGTCCTAATTTTTTAAAAGCAAAAAAAAAAAAAAAAACGTAAATAGGACTGTAATCTCAGTACCGAGCCTCACTCAACCCAGGATGACTTATTCCCAAGTAGACACATCTAGCCTTTTGTCTAGCTTTATTCTGTAGCACTGTCAGTGGTCACCAGGTCTTGCTTCTGAGAAAATTTGGAGGCCAAAAAAAAGGGGGGGGGGGTTGTGGCCATGTTAGTGCAGGGCTACCAACTCCCCTGAATCTGTTTTTAACCCTCTTGGCATGGGTATTGTATCATGAAGAAATTGGCTGATGGAGTTCTCCTATTCATCCAGAACACCTCTGTCCATCAGAAACATCCAGTAAAAAAAGTTTAAGTATTTGGGGAAGTGGGAAAGCTGCTTAGGGTCACAATTACTTAACTTACTTTCACCACGATGGACAAAATGCTCAAGTTCAAAGCTTTGCAAAGAGATCGCTTTGCAATAAGCATGCAAAGTGGAACAGCAAACGATTCAGATTTGCAAGTCAAGTTGATCTGCACACTTTATTCCAGGCCAGAGCAGCCCTGCAGATAATACTCATTCGAATCACCTTCACACAGCTCAAGGGCACTATGGCACTTCAGGTACCAAACGCCCATCAGTCTTCCAAAGAAGTTTACTCCACAACCTCTGAACAGTCCCCTGTGATTCTTTATTAGAATTCCAAAAATGAATAATTTTAAATCAATCTTAAAAAATACTCAAGGTACAGAATGTGCATACAGTACAAAGCAATTTACAAAAGAGAGAGAGAGAGAAAGGAAAAAAAAGTTTGCAGAAAGAGGTAACAACGCTCTGGAGAGGGAGAACCAAAGGATGACCGGACTACAGCAATGCCCTCGGTGTGCCTTACACGTCATGAGCACTGCAAGACTGGCAGACTAGCTGAGAGGGCCAGCCCTCAACACACGCCCTTGCGGGCAGCAGGAAGAACGTATCTGCGAGAAACAAACGAACTTCCTTCCTTCCTTCCTTCCTTCCTTCCTTCCTT